TATATTAGGCGTTTATGTTGCAAACTTGCTAATTATTGTATATGTATAATTGTTATTAGTCAATGTTTATTTACATTAATTGTTGTCTTGTCACATAATTCACATTCTATATGTTGCATTGTGAACAAAGAAAAAAAATCAACTCTTAACACCATCTTTTGTTGGAACGATGTAGAAGCTACAACCATATATAGAAACTCAATACGTATAACTATATAAGGGCCTGTTCTGTTCCGTTGAAGTTCAGTTCAGTTCAGTTCAATTCAGTTCAGTTCAGCTCATCTCTTAATTTATGTTTAATGATATTGCTAATGATATAAAGCCAAATTTCATTCTTTTAAGCTCTTATTCAACGACGACAATAATAATAATAATAATAATAATAATAATAATAATATTAATAATAATAATACTAATAGTACTAATAATAATAATCAATAAATAATAATAATAATTATCAATAATTAGTAATAATAATAATAACAATAATAATAATATTGATACAATTCATTGTTCAAATGGTTCTATTGTTTGTTTGGGGCACTGCCGAACTAGTGACTGCAGGAGGAAGGAGAAAGTGTTTTTCTTTCTCTTTATTTGGGCTTAGAGCATCGTGGGTTAGGGTGTGTTGTTGGCTTTTTTTATTTTTTTATTTCTTTTTTTATATATATATATTATTTTATTTAAAATTTGTTTAAATGGGTTAGATACATGTAAGTTTTTTGTGTTCTTTTGTCCTAATACTAGTTTATTTTTGAATTAAATAGTATATGTGTTTAAAATGTTTAGAGGTTTCAAGTTTTTAATATATTTTCCATACATTTTATAATATATTTTCCATACATTTTATAATTATAATTATATAGTATATTTTTCGTAAATATTTTAATATGTACATTTGTATATACACATATGTATAGTAATAAATATCAATAAATAATCATAAATAATCAAAGATCATTAATCCGTAGTTAAAAATCACTAATTAATAAGTTCAGTTCAGCTCGGTTCAGTTCAGTTCAGTTCAACTCAGCTCGGTTCAGTTCAGTTCAGTTTAGTTCAGTTCAGTTCAGCTGAGTTCAGTCAATCGGAACAGGCCCTAAGTCCATCTTTCCACATCAAAATAAAAGTTATACCTAAAGCAGGTTAAAAACACCTAATATGGTATCCACAAGACCCCAATACAAAAACCAATATTATATGTTGAAGCATATAACCAAAATACAGTATATAGAATATTAGAATGAATGAAAAGAAACACTAGAACGCCAAATCTTTAGAAAGTAACAACAAAAGCTTAATGAGTGATGCTCTCTTTTACTAATTTTGAGAAGGAAAGAAATAGTGAATGAAACCAGTTAATAATTGATGGAATATCTTTTAATAGCAATGAAAATTATTAGAGTTTAATTAGTGATTACATTGCATAGTGCAACCAGTTAAATATAGGTTCATAGGGCATTCAACAGGCAAACCACTAGGCACTTGGAAGGGCATGCATGCCAAGGTTAAACTAATGTGTGTTCATAATGGACCTGTTTCATATGTTAATAGTATGTAGCATAGTTACAACATCAATGCAAAGTAATATCTCGATTCCCTCTCTCATATCACATGTTTAACGCTCAATAAATAATTAGAATCCGACGACTTCTCTATTTTACAGTTTGTGTATCACTTGTGTGTCACTTCTTTATCTTCCAATTAACTTCTGATTCTTTTAAAACTAATCACTATATATATATATATATATATATATATATATATATATATGTTGTAATTAACTTTCACAAATGTTATTGTTTGAAAAGTATTCTAAGAACATTGAGGATAGATTGATTTCAAAGGCATTAGACATGTGTAACAGTGTAAGCATATGTGATATGTGAATGACATAACCTAGCTAGTTCAAAATTGCGGTCAAAGAAATGTCAAGATTCTTATTTGTTTGGATATGAGAAATTGTATTCATGGTCAAATGTAATATGCAAATATGCTTTTAAAGTCTTTATCAAATGAAATCCAGTAGTTGAAGTTGAAGTAATAACCAAACAAAGCTTTGAACAACAATATAAAATGTGAGTAATGTATACACTTTTTTGGACAATTTTTCTCCTTCAAATTCACTACTGTTTTTCTTCCATTACTTTTTTGGGCATTTCTAGTACACACAAAATACATAGTGTTAATTTCTTTTTGTAATTTTGCTGACTGTATTTATTCCTAAATGCACTTTTCTAAGACCATATTTTCCAGCTTTTTTTTTGTTCATATAAATATTTTTGAAAAAATAAAATAAAATAAATGGTGAAATGAGCTTGTTTTCCTTTGCTGAAAAGCATTCAGAGTTGGGCTCTCTCACCACTCTGAAAGAATGGAATTCTGAGTCGAGAGTTGGGAGTTTGGGACCATGATTTCATCCACTCTGAAAATGCTTTTTGTTTCATTTTTTTATTTTTGTATTTTTGTTAGGGAATTGTTTCCTCATTTTCCTACAAAGTTTTCAGCTCGCATAAACTAGTTTATCTCCAACCCAATACTAGAGAATCTTCTTGGTCAAAGAAATGAGAAAAAAAAAACCTTCTATTTTTTAAAAATGTTTTAATGCACTATATTTACCCATTATGAATTCTAAATACATATTCAAATATTGATACAATAACTAATACAGAGTAACTTCTTACTTATGTGGAAAACCTTATATTAGCTACGATGTATTATAGAGAATTTAGCAACAACAGCCAAAAGGCGAATTGTTTGTTTGATGGACAACATGCAATAGCAAAATCACATCTCATAGTTCAAAGTACTCCACTTCTCAACCTCTAAACCTAGTGTGTTTTTTTATGCACATAAATTTTCTATACTATTCAATACCAACTTTACATTGGCAATGAAAAATTGCATAGAGAGCATCGCGATAAGCTTCTTGACAACATATAATCACATCATAAATGACTTTGATAAATTTTCACAGAATCACCTAACAGGTGCATTACAGTTACTATTTGAGGAATTATCACCGTCATTTATTAACCTATCAAAGAATTATCAAAATTGAGCATATCCAACCCCACATCAGACACCAATCCAAAAATGAAAAAAAAAAGGCATGCTTGATTCTTGAAAATTAATAGTAATAATTTGTTATAGTACTCTTTAAAAATAATACTAATTGAAAAAAGATAATTCCCTTTTGAAGGTAGAAAATGAAGATGATTATGTTATAGGATATTGGGCCGTGATGGGGAAGGCCAAAGTGGGGTTTACAAACCGAGTCCAGAAAGGATGGGGTGAAGGCCGATAGAAAGGGGCATGTGATTAAAGCAACTTTGTTATTCTTATAAAGCGACCACGCTCGTTTTGTTGCAATCATTTGGTCTACTTAAGAGTTAAGAGTATGTATTATTTCTACCCACTCCCTTCCTTATAATCCCTTACCTTTTCTTTTCCCATTTGACCCTTTTTTTATTTTCTTTATTTTGTCTTCCCTAGCTTTATTTTAGTTACCTTGTTCTTCTAACCCCCTTTTTATTTGTTCCCTTATTGTAATCTTTATAGTGGACTTCATGATTATCCTAATTAAGTTTTAGTAATATATATATGGAGTACTCCATTTTGTGTTTTTATGTTTAGCTAATGATGTCATTATTACGTATCATATTGTCTTATGTGGACGTTGGGAAGACAACTTAATCAATTTGGGAATACTTCAATATGATCAACATCACTTAATACTATAAGACACTTTAGTTAGATTTGTTTCAAAGAATATCAAAGTTTAAGGCTTCTTAAATCCTTATCATAGAAATCAAACATATTGATTGATTGTGAACAATGTGTAAAAATTCAAATACAATAACTTTTAGTTCAAATATACTTACAAGTTCATGTAATAGAGTACATAAGTCAAAATAAGTTAAAAGACAACGCCCATAATCTATTTTATTATTTTGTTCATTATTATGAATTTAGAATTATAAACGTAATATGTTTAAAACTAAAGATTGATGTTCTCATGGCTTTATCATGGCCATTGGATTTCTACCCCTAATGATTTTGACCTAATTAATTCATAGAAAACTATAGGGTCTGTTCTCATTTACTAAACCAAGTTGAGCTGAACTGAATCGAAGTGAACTGGACTGAGCTGTACTGAATTGATTATGATAGAAGGAAATTAAGAACTGAAATGAAATGAAATTAAGCTAAAGAGAACAGACCCTATGTGTTATGTGTGATTGTTAAACCTCTTGAATAATGTATATTTTAGCTTGAAGAAGCACAAACATATTCAGTAGTAGCTAAATGCCAAACTTGTTAGAAGTTGGTGATTTTTTAGAGTGAAAGTTAATTTTCTTGGTTACATACAAATTATGAAGTGTAATTTTTTTGTTGAATCCTATTAACTTGAATTGTACGTCATATAACTAAATGATATAATTATCAATTACTGAATTTATTTTTCTATAAGCATAGTTTATTACTTCAATGTATGAAGTATTTTATTTTCTTATACACTTCTTCAACATTGCAGATTATACAAGTATTTATTTTTGGTTAATCAAAGATAATAAGAGATGAGGGTACAATAATAACAGTAATATGCATGTTTAATTTAAGCAAATAAAATGAGAAACATAATGATAGGGCTCGGGAAGCGGGAGACCCGCTCGTGCGGAGAAACCACTCACGCTCACTTAATTATCATCCGAAATTTGGTATTACTCCCTATGATTATGTTTTTAAATTTTATGCAATGAGACAAAATTAATTCTTAAAAATCTCAATTTTATTTTATTTTTATTCCCTAAGTAAACAATCTTCGAACTAAGCTCGAAGACCGCAGTATTAGTCAAAACCAACGAAACCTTTACAGATTTAATACATACAATAATAATTAATAATATCACATCATATAATATATTGAATTTCTTTTAATGAAGATGCCCAAAAATGTTTTAGCAAAGACAAAAACTTTACACCTTTTTAGAAGGCGGATGTCTTGTATAAATACCTTGTATCCTAAGCATAAATTCCTCAACTCCATGCTATTTTCACCTTCCTAAATCCTAACCAAAACCCAACAAATATCTTTTATATTTTCTACAACACCACAAGTTACAAGAACAAAAAGGGGGATTTACAATAAGTTAGAGTAAAAAGAGAGAACAATACACATTTTGAAGGGACACTTTGTTATTAATATCAACATGGCTAATGGTGTAGACAAGGAGAAAGAAGTTGAGACTGTGATTATAGCCAACTACATTGAAATGGAGAAGGATGAAGCTAAGCCTTCGAGCTTCAAAACCGCCCTTTCTAACCTCCTTTGGCACGGTGGCTCCACTTATGACGCTTGGTTTAGTTGTGCCTCTAATCAGGTAACGTCCCTTTTCAATTCCCAGCATGGATAAGGTTGCGTACATCTGAACCTCTATAATAAAACTTCGATTTGTGTTGTTGTTGCAGGTGGCACAAGTGTTGTTGACACTGCCATACTCATTTTCACAACTAGGGATGTTATCAGGAATATTATTTCAAGTATTTTATGGTATTTTAGGCAGTTGGACTGCTTATCTTATTAGCATCCTCTATGTTGAGTATAGAACTAGGAAGGAAAGAGAAAAGGTTGATTTTAGAAATCATGTCATTCAGGTATGTATTTAATTAATGTCCATATATTATTCATTTTTAACAAAATTAAATGGTAGATTATATATATTAATAGTAATTAATTTAAATTTAATGAGATTAAATAATTTTGTTAATGCAGTGGTTTGAGGTGCTAGATGGATTACTAGGGAAACATTGGAGGAACGTTGGATTGGCATTTAATTGCACATTTCTTTTGTTTGGATCTGTCATTCAACTTATTGCCTGTGCAAGGTATCTTATTGCTTTAAACTTAGCTTGTATTTTACCTCCCTTTGGTATCTACCTACCTAATATAGTACTCTCTTAATTATATACTAATTGATGAGTATAAATTTGTCTGAGCCATGATTTATGGCAATAATTAAGTAGGGTTTGTAATTGATTATTACTAATCTCTTTTGATTTGAATAATATTTGCAGCAACATATACTATATAAATGATAATCTGGACAAGAGAACTTGGACCTACATTTTTGGGGCGTGCTGTGCTACTACCGTCTTTATTCCTTCTTTTCATAACTACAGAATTTGGTCCTTCCTTGGATTAATCATGACCACCTACACTGCTTGGTATCTTACCATTGCATCCATTCTTCATGGCCAGGTACTCCCATTAAAATTATTTGTCACATTATCAACTTGTTATATACGAAGTATGAACTTATAATTACCAATAAACTATGTATATATACACAAAAATCTCCTTTCTCGTAGTTAAAGTGTATTTTGAATTCAATTATGTCGTATAAATTATTGTTGTCTAAGGATATGCAACAATAACTTTCAAAATATTGTAAAATACGTACATCTATTACTTTTAGACACTGAAATTATGTTTATAACGCTTTTGTATAGAGTATAATAAAATTTCCACTTATTGTTTAATAATCCTATATAATACGAGTATATCATTATGCTTTCCCATCCTTGTCTACAATATGGAATCTAGCTAATTGCAACTCATAATCTATGTTACAAGTAAAGTTAATCAATAGTTTACTATGCATTATTTCTTATTATGTGACAAAGCAACACCTATCCTTGGCCGCCTTAGAAAAAGCTTAAGACAACGTTTCCATGTGATATTTCCATTACTAATCAACATGTTACCCGACCAATCATGTGCTTTGTCTAAAAGCAATCCCATTAATTAGGAGCCTAATTTCTAATTAGTAATTTTATTTTTCTTTTTTACAATGGAACTTATATATGCATGCTTTTACTTTCCATATGTCCTATTAACTTGTATTTTTTCAATCTAATGGTTAGTTAAACACTTAAACTTCTAATAATAATCTAATCTCCAACAAATTAATAAAGGTTCAACCAAACAATAGTACTTGGTATGTTTAATTCTAGAGTTTGTATAAACATTACAATGTTGATTGGTTACATACTTGCATGGGATACCATGCACTAGCCAAAACCCATGTGATCAAATCACGTGCCGCAACCTGCAATCGTTTTTGGATTAATTAGTTTTAACCCCCATGTATATGTCGCGATTAGTCTCTAATCTTGCGTAAAATCCAACCCAATGTAGGCAGTGAACATATATTTTACTACTAAACTATGCAAAATAACCTTGGTAATATAACTCTAATCGTATATTATATGGTGATTAAAAATATGATTAGGTGGAAGGTGTGAAGCACTCAGGGCCGACCAAGTTGGTGTTGTATTTTACAGGGGCCACAAACATTCTCTACACGTTTGGAGGACATGCTGTTACTGTGTAAGACAAACTCTCATTCTACCCTATTTTCTTGTCTTTCAAAAATTATAAAAATCCCAAATGTTTGACCCAAGGGCAAATCTGTCTTTTTAGTAGTTTTATATAAGGGGCAAATCTGTCTTGTATATTAAAAAAAAATAATGAAAATGACTTTTCACCGTTTTGTATAGACATTTTCTGACTATGTTATCATGTAATGACCAATCCTTATCTTCATTAAAAAAAATACTGGTAATAAAATGTCCATTGCAAAAACATAAGGTAAAAAGTAGGGGTAAAAAATTTACATGAATATAGTATGGCGTGCTAAGGAAAAAGGGTAGTGCTTTTGTTAAGTTTTTAACCTTTTGCTGAGGACAATTATTTATTTTCTGCAGATTCAATCTTAAATGTACTGTAGAAAGTAAAGGCTCTTTAACATTCAGGTTTAAAGCTTATTTAGCGGATTAGCTGTTACTTTTATCATGGTTTCAATTTACAGTACCAGTAACTTATAAATATGGGGTCCAACTAATATTCACCCTTGTTTTCATCCTTTGTTCACTTTTATTTTTACCTTCTGTTTGATAGGGAGTATAGAATATGCTATTGCTGAATCCTGATGACACTCAGATTTCATATTATTGAATTCTCTGCTTTTTTTTCAGATACAGCTAGCCAATTTCATATGTTTATGGGCTATTGTTATTTGGTTTTATTTATTGTTAAACTAACATTTTAATACGGGTTCTATTAGATTCAAGAGAAATACGAAGTGACATTATATTGTGAATATCAAAATAGTATACGTACATAAGTATATGTCTTGATGATGCTGATTTAGTATAAAATGGAATTCTAATAAGTACTCCGTAATATGTAAGGATCGGCGAACTAGTTTGATTGATTAAATTTTGGTTGGTGTAATGTAGGGAGGTAATGCACGCAATGTGGAAGCCACAAAAGTTCAAGGCCATATATTTACTAGCAACTCTATATGTGATGACATTGACCCTGCCCTCAGCATCAGCAGTGTATTGGGCATTTGGAGACATGCTTCTTGATCACTCTAACGCCTTTTCTCTCCTTCCTCGGTCTCCATTCCGTGACATGGCTGTCATCCTCATGCTCATCCATCAGGCATGGACATTTTCCTTGATATACTATCGTTGCTTCAAATAATTTAATTGATCTATATATGCCTTAATTAACCGTAAATTGATTTATATTGACAATTCTTAAAACATGTAACAATGCAGTTTATAACCTTTGGGTTTGCATGCACACCCTTGTATTTCGTATGGGAGAAGGCAATAGGATTGCATGATTGTAAGAGCATGTGTAAACGGGCAGCGGCGAGGTTGCCCGTGGTCATCCCAATATGGTTCTTGGCCATCATTTTCCCCTTCTTCGGTCCCATCAATTCCGCGGTTGGATCACTCCTTGTTAGCTTCACCGTCTACATCATCCCTGCCCTTGCTCACATGTTCACCTTCCGTTCTGCTGCTGCCCGAGAGGTATATTTCCATATGTTTTTTTTATATCTATATCGAAAGTATATAACTAATACAAAGTATAATTAATATAGAGAGTGTCAATAATATAATACAGTAACACTTTTAACCATAAAGGACTAGTGACAGAGTAAGTCGATATAAAATAATGTAAAACATTACAATTGTATAGAGAGCGTCAATAATATAATACAGTAACACTTTTAACTATGAAGGACTAGTGACATATTGGATCGATTTAAAATAAAGTGAACTGTTACAAGTGTATAATGTTTATGTTATGTTAGGTATATATGTAAGTATTTATATTATTGTACTAACGGAATGGCAAACAACGATTTATACAGAATGCAGTGGAGCAACCGCCCAAATTTTTAGGAAGATGGACAGGAGCATTTGCCTTTAATATTTTTGTGGTAGGATGGGTGCTTGTGGTAGGGTTTGGGTTTGGTGGATGGGCTAGTATGATCAATTTTGTTCACCAAATTGACACCTTCGGATTGTTTACTAAATGCTACCAATGCCCTTCACCAAAGGTTGCCAATGTCACCGCTCTTCCCCCTTCACCGGCTAACCACACCCACCACCTTGCTCATCGTCTTTGATCGATTTTGCTACGACATGATCAAGTCAATTACGTGCGTGCCTTACGAGTTAGTTCAAGGCCACCCAAAGTGGTATAGTGATTAGAGGCAATATACATGATGTGATGTCTTTGGTTTGCCATTAGCCTCGAGTCTTCGCCTAATACTCAAAAATGTGCCCAACAATGAGCTACTTGAGTTGTTAGGGTTAAAGGTGTATGGCTTGAGATGTTTGAGAAATGAGTTAGAAAGAGGAAATTTGTAGTTTAGAAATGTTTGTTATGATTTTGATAATCGCTTGTATGAAATTAAATATGAGTATGTAATTTTGCAATCAGTATTGTACTACTAGCTTCTCCATAAATGGATATGCTATCTGATCTTTGCTCACCTACAATCTTAATTGCTTGAATTAACTACTCCATCTAGCCACTTTTACTCTTATTAAATCATATTTAAATAGTTGATGAGCTAAAGTACTTCATTTAACTTGTATGATACGGGGTATAAGAAGAATTTCGAATGTTGAGTATTAACGTAATTAAATCCACCAATTTATCATCTTTATTTCAATAGGATTTTTTTAGTTTTAGTAAAAAAAAAAAAAAAAAAAAAATCGAAGGATTTTTGTAGTTTCCTGTTATTATTTTGCGAATTCATGAATTCTCGTGAGGGCAACATCATACATCATAAGGGCCTGTTCCGATTGACTGAACTCAGCTGAACTGAACTGAACTGAATTGAGCTGAATTGAATTGAACTGAACTTATTAATTAGTGATTTTTAACTATGGATTAGTGATCTTTGATTATTTATTACTATACATATGTGTATATACAAATGTACATATTATTATTATTATTATTATTATTAATTATTGATTATTATTATTATTATTATTATTTATTGATTATTATTATTATTATTATTTATTGATTATTATTATTAGTATTATTATTATTATTGTTATTATTATTATTATTATTATTATTTATTGATGATTATTATTATTATTATTTATTGATGATTATTATTAGTATTATTATTTCAATTATTATTGTTATTATTATTATTATTATTATTATTATTATTATTATTTATTGATGATTATTATTAGTATTATTATTTCAATTATTATTGTTATTATTATTATTATTATTATTTATTGATTATTATTATTATTTATTGATTATTATTATTATTATTATCATTATTTATTGATTATTATTATTATTATTATTATTATTATTTATTACTTATTGATTATTATTATTATTGTTGTTGTTGTTGTTGTTGTTGTCGTCGTCGTCGTTGTAATAAGAGCTTAAAAGAATGAAATTTGGTTTTATATCATTAGCAACATCATTAGACGTAAATTAAGAGCTGAACTGAACTGAACTGAAATGAACTGAATTTCAACGGAAGAGAACAAGCCCTAAAATTGTGGCTTAATAAAGTAAAGAACATGCAAGACCTTTTAGTTACAACGAAAAGTGTTTTCTAGCCATACTGTTATTATTACTGGGTCGAACTAGCTGGCCCATAAAGTTTCATTAATTGCGTTGGTCTCTATCAATGGGCTTCAACTCAACGAAGTAAAAAAAATGGGCTTTCAGTAGAACGCCCAACTTTTTTTTTAACTTGTATGATACGGGGTATAAGAAGAATTTCGAATGTTGAGTATTAACGTAATTAAATCCACCAATTTATCATCTTTAATTTCAATAGGATTTTTTTAGTTTTAGTAAAAAAAAAAAAAATTCGAAGGATTTTGTAGTTTCCTGTTATTATTTTGCGAATTCATGAATTCTCGTGAGGGCAACATCATACATCATAAGGGCCTGTTCCGATTGACTGAACTCAGCTGAACTGAACTGAACTGAATTGAGCTGAATTGAATTGAACTGAACTTATTAATTAGTGATTTTTAACTACAGATTAGTGATCTTTGATTATTTATTACTATACATATGTGTATATACAAATGTACATATTATTATTATTATTATTATTATTAATTATTGATTATTATTATTATTATTATTATTTATTGATTATTATTATTATTATTATTTATTGATTATTATTATTAGTATTATTATTATTATTGTTATTATTATTATTATTTATTGATGATTATTATTATTATTTATTGATTATTATTATTATTAGTATTATTATTTCAATTATTATTGTTATTATTATTATTATTATTTATTGATTATTATTATTATTATTATTATTATTATTATTTATTACTTATTATTATTATTATTATTATTATTATTGTTGTTGTTGTTGTTGTTGTTGTTGTTGTTGTTGTTGTTGTTGTTGTTGTTGTTGTTATTGTCGTCGTCGTCGTTGTTGTCGCTGTTGTTGTCGTTGTAATAAGAGCTTAAAAGAATGAAATTTGGCTTTATATCATTAGCAATATCATTAGACGTAAATTAAGAGCTGAACTGAATTTCAACGGAAGAGAACAGACACTAAAATTGTGGCTTAATAAAGTAAAGAACATGCAAGACCTTTTAGTTACAACGAAAAGTGTTTTCTAGCCATACTGTTATTATTACTGGGTCGAACTAGCTGGCCCATAAAGTTTCATTAATTGCGTTGGTCTCTATCAATGGGCTTCAACTCAACAAAGTAAAAAAAATGGGCTTTCAGTAGAACGCCCAACTTTTTTTTTTTTTTTTTTTTTTGGGAATGTATATATTTTAATATACTACCTCCGGATCATATTATATGCAACTTTGGGATATTATTTGTGAGACATAAAAAATTCCAAAGTTGCATATAATATGATCCGGAGGTAGTAGCTTATTCTCTCTTCAAAAAAAAATTAACAAAGTACAACTACGAGTATTTATTTATTCAAATACTCGTTAGATACTACTCCATTTCTAGGCATGAGGTTAAGGTTGAAACATTCCAAACTCGATGTATAAAGGATTTCCCTAATTCTCCTCTCTTATGAAAAGTCTGGTCCTTACAAAAAAAAAAAAAAGACGGAGTAGTAAGTTACCAGTAATAAAAACTGTTACTTGTATGCTGATAGTCAATTAGTAAAAGTGTGAAACTAACCCTTTCTGATATGTTCAACTCTGAACTCTCCAAGAGTCACATACGTTCATGTGTTACATTACAGGGTCCTGCACTCAAGGTTAACCTTGAGAGTTAGATGCTTAGAGCTATTCCACTCAAGGTTAGGCAAATATCACATTGGTCACCAATATATTGGGTATTCACTATTCGATTTACAAGAGTGGTTTAACCTTTAGTGAATGGCTCAGATTGTCATATTTAGCTTAAGTTCAAACAATTTTGATAAGTAAAAATATTTTATATTAGTAATAATCAATTTTAATACAAGTAGGATCATTATAAATTACAGTACTACTTATGTAAAACATTAAGCTAGCCCTTGCATCAGCATTTTAAACCCCATTTATTGTTATAGTACTTATCATGGACATATAATATGAATTGATTAACATGGTAACAGCATATGATGTTTGGATCAAGACTATTACTCTATTATTGAAAATTTGAAATCCAATCCAACTTAAATCCGAACTAAATTATCTTACTCTCTTGAAAACATGACAAAAGAGGTTAGAAAACCTAGGTCATTTATTTTTACTTAAAAGGGGAGTTATATCAGGTAGTAACACTTTGGAACTCTTGAATACACGACAGAGAAGATGTGACAAATCAGCTATAAATTGGAAATCCAATTTCATTCCAGAACAGGGTGCTCAATCACACAGTAAGTAAGAAGAGCATCTTATCTGTTTTTGATGCGTGCCACTATTAATGGACTAGACCCATCTCTACTTTTATTTGATCCCACACCATTATATTCACTTAACACTTTTTTTTTTTAAATAGCATCAATTATTATTATTGTAGGAAGAATCAGCATTATTTTCTAAATTTGTTTTTGTTAGTGGACCAACTCAATCAAAAGGTTTCACACGAGAGCCGTTTGGGCTAGAAGTGTGGATGCAGCATGGGTCCTCCTTATACCCAACGTTTAATATTCCATTTGAAAGTGGGGGTGGATGAGATTCGAACCCGTGACCTTTGTGTCACGCTGGCTCCGATACCATTTTAGTGGACCAACTCAACCAAAATCTTAAGCTGATGGTTGAGGCCCAGGAATATGTTTTATACTCTATCAGTTTTTTCATTTAAAAAATAAAAAAACTATATCGATAAAACATTGTTACAAAACAATAATTGGGTATGGTTAGGATGATAAATTGTTTCATTCACTTTAATAAGGGGTGAGGATGTTTCAGTCAACACTTTAATTACTACCTCCGTTACAGATTATGTGCAACGATTTAACATACACAAACTTTTAAAAAAATCGCGTGTACAATAATTATTGTACATCCATTATAAAGATAACTTAAAGTGATTAATAATTACCCCTGAAATGAATAAAAGTTACCCCAATTCAAATAAAAATTATCTTCGCTTTATTAGTAAAGAATCACATTTTAAATGACTAAAAATCAATTATTAGTGATTGAATGTAATTAAATTACCTTTATAAAACTTTTCTTGTTCTTGATTTATATAAAAATTGTATTATGTTTAAAGTTACCCAAAAAAAGATAAAACCCTAAAATTAGCTAAAAGCTACCCTTATACTGCTCGATATACACTAATATTAGTGTAAACCGGATGTATACAAAATTTTTTGTTTGACATAAAACAGAGAGTGAACATGTCTAATCGTTGCACATAACCTGTAACGGAGGTAGTATTTTACTTTGTATATTTTTTAATCAGTGTCTTATTAAATTTATTTTAATGAATTTTTTTTAATACTAACATCTTATGGTTTCTATAAATTACTAATAGTTAATGTATACATTAAAAATCAAAATAAAAATCGAAAGATACTTCGTAATAAAAAGAGTGGAGGAAGTATCAAAATTGAAATGTTAGAACCAATTAGGAGCTGCTAGAAATTGAGTGGGCATCCCATAGTTGGTCAGCGGCCCAGTGCTACATACTAAACTATGGGCAAAAGGATTCGAACACTACACTACTACACTACAAACTACAAAATGAGTGGGCATTCTAGCTAAGTTGTTCGGGAGTATTCATCTTTAATGATACCTTGGCCTTTTATAGGAGTAGTGACCTAGCTGATTCTTTTCCCTTATCCATAAACTAATTAAAATAAACAAAAGAAAAATACTGTAAATAAACTTAAAACTTCAATTTTATTTGAGATGTGACACTTGTCAATTGTCATGAGCTCTTCTTGATGACCAATCATCTCATTAGTCATGACATGTTTGACAACCAATCATCCAATAACATCATTTTTTGTCATCATCAAACAAACCCTATGTAATTAACATCAACCTTCATTGATTAAGAGTAGCAATAGCTTTAATACA